AGCTAAATTGTGAAAAACCCCCTCTCGGCAGAACACACCTACGCAATTAATTGCTCTCCCAACCCTATTGTGGACGCTGACCGTAACACCTTAGTCTGTGTTATAAAATTTGGATTGCAACACCTTGGTCTGTGTCATAGAAATTGGATCATGACACACACCTGAGTGGGAATAACCTAGACTAAGTGGAAATAACATAATTATGTTATTTCCACTTATTGTAATTTATCATCCATTGAATAAACAACCTGATATTAATATACTGTTTGCAACAGTTACTAACAACTGCTCTCATTGCTTTTTATTTTGTCACTCTTCTATTACTATTTTTGTCATCATATTTATCTCATTTCTTACACACCATTGTTTTATCACCATCTTCATTAGAACTTGAGAGAAAAAGAAAACAAACTGAGAGTGGTAAGACACTTGGAACTATCACAGTATCACTCAATATCAATAATTCCTGCCTTGCTAAGACAGTAGTACTTTTTTTCTAGGTGCAATTGCTGTGTCAAAGAGAAGGAAATGGGTGGTTAATAGTGCAATGTGCTAAGAGGAATGGGGTTTCTGTTACTTTGCAGAGCCAGTGGAACAGTACCATCAACTACTTGAAAAGGTTGGGTATGGTAGATTCATAATGCTATATGGTACACATGCATCAGGCAAGTCTACACTGGTGAATTATGCAATTAAGTGGTTGGAGGAAGATAAAGATAAGCATTTTATATGCAAATAGTAAGAACACTTTTTTGTTGTCTTCTGTATGTTTGGAAACCATTGGCATATCTTGTAATGGTATCTGCTTTTTTTGTTGACCAGTGTGACTTTTGAAGAAATCATTCTGGCCAACCTTTGGAAAAGCACTCAGTTGTGATCACCAAAAACAATACTTTGCTGCCTGTGAGAAAATTCAAGATGCCTCAGATTTCCTTGTGCAATTTAGCAAGAATTCTTGGGATGAGCATTCTACAGCTGGAGAGGTTCATGTCATTCTTTTCATTGATGAATTTGATAAGTTACATGATGCACCTGAGGATGTTCATGATGAAGTTCTGGAAACTTTCCATGCAATTAGAAACAATTCTCAGGATTTCATCATCAGTGCCATTGTAGCAGTAGTTATTGGTACATTCAGCATTCTCTATATTGACACCAGCTTCAAGACATCACCTTTCAATATAAAGGAATCAATCTGGAATCACAATCATTCTCTTGATCAAGTTCAGGAGCTTTACAATCAGTTTGCAAGTGACACTAAAATGAAGATTGATCAGGAAGTCATTGAGGACATCTATTTTCAGACCAATGGGTAAGCATAATAGATTATATTAATATATGCTCATTTGCAAGCATAACTCATTCACCTGACTAAAACTGTTTATTTTCTCAACAGACATGCTACTCTTTATCTTGTATGTTTATGTGGACGCGTGATTGAAGAAAAACTAATAGGAAGTTTGGATATCACAAGGCATGTTAGTTACAAGATATGGCATAGCTTCAGTGTCATGTCATTAATGTCTGAGGTCAGCAGGTGCCAGACATGGAAGCATATGGTGGATAGACTTTTACATCCTGCTGCCAAAGCTGCAGTGGAATTATTCCGGTCCAAGTTCATGTTAAACACAGATTTTGTAGAGATCTATGAAGATGAAGAAGTTAAGTTGGCAAATTTCCTTGCAGCTGAAGGACTTTTGGTTGTCAACGATTTGACAAAGTTCAAAATTGCATCACCATTGGTGTGCTTATGCTGGCTGATTCTGGAACAGGTAATTACAAAGGTGTTTCCGTCCTGCCCAAAGGTTGAAGTCCCGTATTATCCTTCGTCAGACACTTTGAACACTTTTGAAGTCTTAAAGCATGCTGTTCGTGTATTATGTATTTGACAAAGAAACCCTAAGTTTGGCATGTCATACTACATTCAAGCAAGCCCATGTGCCTGTAATAATTCCAATAAGAGAAATGTACCACGAGAAAGTGTGTATGAGGGAGAGATGTGTCGAATTCTGCGGAATTGGCTTCTCCAGCATGGATTCCAAGTCACCGGGTGGCATACTCCATGAAGCTGGTAAACTTACTAATAAAATGTATAGTGACATCGTTCTCTCAATGACCAGCGATCGAACAATTGTCATAGAGCTCTTGTCCACAGCGACAAAGGGGCAACTCGAGGAACATTTTGTACGAGCACTTTAATATACAAAAATACTCTCTGCACAAGAGACATGGGTTATTCACTTTACATGTGCTGATTACGCTACAACAAAGTCTTGTTGGCCATCAGAACAGCAGTTGGAGGATGGTCTCCAAGTTGCACATGTGTGGCATGATCTGGGGTTTGAAACGGTTCGGATTAGCGCGCGCTGGCGAGATGAGAAGAGTGTCCAGCGGGAATTATCGATGAGGAAATTTTCTGAAGGTAAGATTTCATTGGAGTTACTATATACTTTAGTATGTGATGGAAGTATGCTTTGCAATGCCCGCAGATGGGTTAGAAGATGTGTGGGGATGGGATGGAAAGGAACATAATCGTATAAGTATGTGAATAAAAGGACTGGAGTGTGAAAGAGTATTATGTGTAATGTCTTCGTTTGGTATGATGATGGCATCGGTGGCAGAATAAATGCCATCGATAGCTTTTTGTTTGATGTGGTAAATGCCAGTTACATGCAAATTGCTATAATAAAACTATACATAGGATACCCGTATGGAAAATTATACTTATAACGATTCTACTGAATATGAAAAAGCAATACGTTTCCTGGAGATAGGTTGCAAATGTGGTTGCTCAAAAGCGATTTCGAGAGAAGGGTTTGCCGAATTACGCGAAGCGTTTCAAGCCTTTTCTAGACCCGAACAAGATATATTTGTAATGGCCAAACTGAAGGCGATGATGGTGGAGAAATAACTGCCAGTCGACGTCTTAAAAAGAAAATGCGTACTAATAAGCGAATGTTTTACTACTGAGATCGCAATACGCCGCTTTGTCAGAAAACATGTTGGGAATTGGTCGCACGCACTTTGAAAACGTTAGAAATCACTGGGCGACGAATGGTATAATACCGCGCGTTCATGGTAACATAAAGCGAATGTCGCGATCAAAGTCAGGTGTCGGCATTGACAAATGTGCAAAGGTCGATGTGATTCAGCTAACCGTCAAAGGTTTACACAGCATTCAAGTCTTGCTTTTTCCTAGTCCCCATCCCAGCCACCACGCAAACTTGTAACCAATAACCCACCGTTACCTAAGTCTCTAAATATAATTTATGCAGTCCCGTTTAATAAAAAGTTACATCATACTGTAACCGAGTTGAAACATATACAGTTAAGTAAAAGCAGTAAATTTAGAATGGTGAAAACGTGAAGTCCTGATTTTCTGGAGAGCGAATAAACCGGATATTACAGCTTAGCTTTTGGGGGCTCATTGCAGTACCATGCCATTTCGACCTCCTTACGTGTAAAACTATGGTTGAATAAGAGACGAGACGTGAGTTAACAAGTATTATGTGAAATTGATAATAAATGAATACTTACCCGCACTTCTCGTAGAACGGTACATTCTAAAAAGTGATAGTATTCGGATCTTAATTATCTGTCACTAGGAACAAAAAGGAAAATTGCAAAACAAGATGCTTACCTTTTCTGAACAATCGAGGATAACTGTCATGAACCAAGTATTCGAGATGAAGCGTTTATTAGTATTAAATTAGTCGCGGTACTAGTACTTTGTACATAAGACTTTCCGCACCTTTATAGCAGCCTCTGTTGGCGCCGATGTATTTCAATGTCTGGATTACGCTATTAGAGACAGACTTAGCCAACTTATTTATCATTCCAACACGCACCCGAATATTACAGAAGATTCTTACCGAAGTCCAAGCTTCTTCCCCTGTTGATTTTTATTGACTGCAATATCTTCAATATGCCCAACCTAATAGAAAAAATAGTATCTAATGAATCTACAAATGCTTACAACCTGAAACACGCATTAGACGGAGACAATTGATGCCAACATACAAGTCCTGTATTTCTTATAAACTTTCTCTCTACAAAAATGGTTCCAGCACCAACAACTCGATCATCAGGAGATAATATCACAATAGTGAAATACTCATGGTTATGCTGTTTCAGATAATTAAAGCGTTCTGTTGAGCAGGCAACAATTATAACACTTTTAATAATGGCTGCATATAATATCTCTTTATCCAACTGCTGAACAATCGACTGACCCTTCCTCCTCACCTAAAAATTGAGCCTTCGAAATGTCTCCAATCTCAGTAAGCACTGCTAACGTATCGAGAAACCCGCGTTCATAATCATCGCTTGCCAAAGGTCTAACTTTGTATCCTGGTGGAAGTGCCGCTTGTACTTCAGGCGAGATAAGACTAGCAGAGAATAAGAGTTGGCCCGTCATTATTTGTAAATAATGAGACTATGTAAACACTGGTGAGTAGGGCTGGACGCCCATGTACGAAGCACAACATGCATGACTAGTCGTGCAACAGATTTGTGGGAACATCGAATTTGGAATTAAATTTCGACGCCAATATAAAACGGTTTTAGGTATTTTCCAGATGTCTAACTACATAGGCAGACTCGATAAGTCGGTATCGATTCCGTCATAAGAGCAAAGGATTATATTAAAATTGACGAGATATACTTTAGACACAAAACGATATTCCTGATGATAGTGAAATTATTGCAGCCGTCCAAGAAGCTCCTGAGGGTGAGGGAGAAGATAACGACAAAGACGAGGTTTCTATTGTATCTAACAAATGGCTATAGAAAGTAGTCAAAATTTACATAATTATTTGCAGCAGAATAATGATATACGAGTAAACAGTTCATTTGTTTCAAGCTTAAAACACTTAAAGCAGGAAATCGAGAAAAAACGAACGAATTATTCAACACAAACAAGCATGGATATTTATTTAGAATAATGGTTTTTCCATTCACTTGCTATTAATACATATAAAAATAAAAATTTACTAAATAAATCACGTGGATTCGCTAAGTCGGTCTCCCTCGATAAGTAAGCCAGCCATCTGGGTCCGACTTATCGAGTCTGCCTATGTAATAACAAATTTGCCCATTCACGTATATCCGTTTCGGTCGGTAGACATTAATCTTAGACGGCTATTTGCCCTCGAACCAATCGACTATTCTCCTCCGATGGGATTAATTCGGAAGCCTGTAGGTAGATTGGTATACTGCCATAATTTACGAGAATATCTACGGGACAATTCTATAGGAATTCTTGGTTTATGATCACATCAAACAATTTATGTTAATGGATGGAAACTACAATACATATCAGAAGCTCGCCTTTACTTACCTTGATCTCAATTTTTTGTCTGAACACTCTTTTAAAGATGTATTTTACCGTCTCATGGCAAGGGATACCGCACTTCATTTCATCGCGGGGGAAGGGCGCACGTTATATTCTAGTTGGGGGGGGGGACCACACTCTTTCATTCATCGCGGGTGACGAGGGCGCGGACAAGGTTCAAGTTCTTCAATCTATCGCCGGGTTTGTGCCTATAGATATAAATAATGAGTAAATGCATCATCATAGTCAAGACCATTGAACGGTCAATGTATTCTATTCGCCACAACCCGGTGTTATTCCAGACGAACGGATAAATCGAACGTTCACAAACAAGTAGTTACTATACTCACTCATAGCGACGAAGCTCGACACCCTATATCCTTAGAAGATTTTAATGGTATTTTCAAATTCTCGTCCTCGTACGACATAACTTGTTATCTTGGATACTTTATATTAGTTTGAAATAAAAAATTCAAACAATAGCATGCTATGTGCAAAGTTTATCTTAATGATTATCATGAAGGAGAGAGTGTGAGAAAGAGTGAGTGAGAGAGAGTAAGAATGAGTGAGTTTGAGTGAGTGAGAGTGAGAGTGAGTGAGAGAGAGTGAAGGTGATTGTGGAGTGTGAGTGTGAGTGTGAGTGTGAGCGTGTGGTCGTGAACATGACATATTTTCCGCTCTGTTACACGAATCACCGGTTCTGCGGTTAACGATCTACGGACGCGTCATGGATGAACAGCCGTTAGATCATTAATAATTTGCCCGATATATATCAAAATTGTGCAATTAGAGTTAGACAAGCAATAGTTATTTACACGCGACAATTTCTTCCATTGTTCACAATTATTCCACGCAAAGATCTTATAATTCCGCTCTTTTATTCTAATAAATCTGACTGGTGATTTATATCATACATTGTCAGTTTAAAATCCTGTGGTTCATTATTGAATACGGCCCGAATTTGAAAACCGCTTTCCGGACTCTCTGTTGTAAACTTAGTCTCGCCCCTAAGTTTGCATTCTAATCGGTTCAGGATATCTATTTAATTGTTTATAAACGCGTTAGTATAGTGAAAACCTTTTTCAAACGATAGATTCCCGAAACTGATCATAATTGCTGAATAATTACTCGAGGTTAAATAAATATCAACGGAATAGCGTATACGATACGATACTTTTGTAAGTATTCAAAGCCTGTTAAAAGGTCACTAACTGTTAGGTAGAATTAGCATTAGTAGGAGCTGCCGGTTGACTCTGTTGAAAGAAGCTAAATCTCAAGGAGGTTACACGATCGCTATCCCACGTGACAGTGAAAAGAGTGTGTGAGGGAGGGAGTGTGAGTGTGAGAGAGAGTGTGTGTGTGACTGTTTTGCATACGCGTCCAAATTACAAGTATGTAATATTTCTGGGACGCCGCAGCATAAGCAATACATATTATATCAATAGGAGAGAGAAACTGTGACTAAAATGGGGTAACTTTTTACATACGCGTCCAAATACAGGTGCAGTGTAACGTCGCAGCATAAACAAATTTTGATATAAAATAGTGATGTATATACAGTACATATTATTACGTGTAGTCCAATCGGAGGTCCCTCGTCCCATATTTCAGGACATCTTCGCAACACGTATAAATACTTGGGCTTCCCTCTGCACATGCTAACAAACAGTTGTGCATAGTCTCTTATTCCTACTGGTTAGGAGGCTCCGTCCTACGGGTTAGGATGTTCCGTCCTACGGGCTATGATGCTCCGTTCTACGGGTTAGGATGCTTCGTCCTACGGGTTAGAACGCTCCGTCCTACGGGTTAGGATGCTCCGTCCTACGGGCTAGGATATTATCGAATACAATTTTTTAATGCAAAATCGCATAATTTTTTGTAAGTCCTGAATGGTTTGATCACTGAGATGATCGATTCTGCATAACCCACTTGATATGCTGCCACCTCAACGTGGTAAGTGGGTGACAACGTTTATTTACATAAAATAAACGGCAAAGAGCAGCATATATACAATCAGCGACTCAAGGTTGGGGGAAGTTAAGTTATAATAGTCGAGTATAAAATTTCTTAATCTGGTAAAACCCGTAGTACAGTATCTAAATTAAAACGGGAAATACTGTCGTAATATTATCACGTGAGCTACTTGTAATAGTTCCGTCCGGTATAAATAGACAGTACAAACAGAATTGGACTGTATTATGGTGTTTGCATAAGCGAGTAGCAGTATTGACTAGCTTGGTCGTTGAGTATAAATCATATGCTAGCTCTCTGATAATGATGTCAAGATGAATGTCTGGTGTGTGTATTAAGTAATTAATTGATACGTACAAAACTGCAAGCGAGTAACCCGAAAGAATAAGCTTTTCCGAGCGCATAAACAAAAGTTAGTGTTTGTCCGTGTTCGATCACTCTGTAGGTTGGCTCTTTCAATCAAGTTGCGACAATCCACAAAATCTTCGGTTTAGTCGGTCAGATTCCTCCGCAACAGTTACCTGATGGAGAATAAATAGAGCCATGGTTTAGCGAGCCTACCGTTCAGACTCACGCGTGCATGAGTGCTACCTACTTGTTGGCTGAATTCTTAACGTGATCGATTTATTTCTGACGACCAAAGATTTCTTCTAATTATATTAATGACATTGCTCAAACAAAATAGGTTTTTTTAGTCAAGTTGACTAGCCTCTGGCTGCAAGAAACTTTTGTATAAATGAGTTGACGATTTTATTAGGCGTCCTGTTAAATCACCACGCGAAAAAAAAACAGGGGTAGGACAAGCTGTGGCTTGCTCCTTTAAACATGCCCCATGTTAATAAACAACATCGAGTTAAAAATATACATGTAACGATGCCTAGTACGTCGTTTTACATAAATCACGTCATTCGCTGGTATCTTTAATCGGCGTGATTTTCAATAATGGTAAATGATTTTTGATAACGATATGTTGAGTAAACATACCCGATCCATCTCGATATGGAAAAGGATCTAACCGAATCTAGTTTTCGTTCCCACTCTACCCTGTGGGTTGCTATCCTGATTGGGGTATCAAAGCAAACATAGGCTGCCTTACCTTTACGCCAAATAGTTACACTCTTGGCACGGGGCGCTTACAAATGGTCACCAGATCTGTGGGGTTGAAGTATTAAATAGAAGATAAAAATTTCGCCTGAATCTGGGGAATTTCCTTTTTGATTGACCCTTTGTTCAGGAAATTCAACTTGCTCAAACTTTTAAGTCTTATACTTTCACCATCGCTGATCTCACTTATATATTAATAAGTTATATTACTACCCACACTGGAGAGATATAAGATAGTGCAGCAGGGATCACAACATGGGATCACCAGATTCGAAAACCTCACTTGTGAAGCACCGCCATGACACTAATAGGAGTTATCAGAGTATAGCGTGTTCTGACGAGAAACCAGGGTTGAGTTCCTGGGAGTTGATCCTGTTAACTTTGAATATGGCTGGAATACAGTTTACTTGTAAGTAGGTCGAATGAAGTATAAAGGACCTAGAGATCAAACGCGAGGAAAAGGAGAGTTCATTTAATAGATCATTGTTTAATAGGAGGTTGTGAAGCTACTGGTTTATTTTTTGTAAAATAACTAGGATATTCGATTGATGAGCTGATCATACCTTTTTTTGATATCGTTCTTCGCCCACTATGTAAAAATTACTCATACAAACAAAATATCTTTCCCTTCCTGATCCTTGTTATTCATAGGGACTGTTGAACTTTCGTGAGTACCTTTTCTGTTTTCATGTATGTATCGTGGTGATTACGATAACATGTACGTTTGAATTGGCAACAGAAGATAACACTACTTTTCTCCTTGACCATATATATGACTTCCTAAACATTGTACAATATCAAAAAAGCTATGGTACTCCGTACTTACTCCACCTTGGTCTATCCAAGAATCAAGTCGCATTAGTGTGGCTTGCCGGTCCACTCTCTGGACTCTTAATTCAACCCCTTGTCGGTGCTTTCAGTGATCGCACTACTTCTCGTCTCGGTCGCCGAAGACCTTACATCATCATTGGTGGTCTATTGGTATGTTTATCGACGATTGCTATCGCATACAGTCAAGAAATGGCTGATATTTTTGTTAGATGGAAAGAATGGGGAGATTCAGAGCATATGGTGAGTATACAAAATGCGGAAGCGAAGGTGACTTGGTGAAAAGAAATCACCGGGCGTGAGTGGGTTCAGCCTTAATTTAATCTTGGTCGTATAATGCTCTGCTGATCTTCGCGCACTATTTATATCTTGTACTTTCATCGTCTTTTTTATACGTCAGAGAACCTCGATCGCTATATGGATTGCTGTAGTAGCTTTTTACTTTCTCGATTTTTCACTCAACGCAGTGATGGCATCTTGTCGAGCATTGATTCTTGACATTCCTCCTCTCTGGCAACAAGACCTTGGTAATGCGTGGGCAGGGAGAATGATTCACATTGGGAATGTTGTTGGCTTTACTGCTGGATTCATAGACTGGATTGGATATTTTCCTTTATTGGGAGATAGTCAATTGAAAGTATTATGCTCGATTGCAATTTTTGTCCTGGTTTTATCTTTGTTGGTGACTTGTTTGAGTGTTAAAGAGGAGGTACATGTAAATATTGACGAGAATGTTGAGTAAGTATCTCAGAATGAGTCTAATGTAGGTTGGAATGTGATCTAATAATGGGCTTATTATTCTTCTGTAGGCCATGGTATTGTACTTTGGTATCCATTTATAGAGCATTTAGATATTTACCCGTGCCAGTACAAAGAATATGTAATGTGCAGTTTTTTGCATGGATGGGATGGTTTCCATTCTTATTCTACAGGTAAATAATATTAATGAGACTCGGAGCAGAGAATAGCAATTAAGAGCTGATCACGTTCCGTTTATTAGTACGACATGGATTAGAGACATTCACGTAACAAATAATCCAGACAAGGGCAATGCATACGAAGAAGGCACTCGTTATGGCTCACTTGCTCTTCTTATCTATTCAATAATCTCGGTAATTGCGGGAGTTATTCTCCCACAACTAACCAACACAGTAGCCACCACATATAACCAAGTTACAATATACAATATCTACACTGCATCACATATTATGTTTGCACTTTCGATGCTTGCCACATATTTTGTTGGTGATGTTCCACAAGCAATGGTCGTTCTCGCTTCTGTAGGGATACCTTGGGCAGCGTCCATGTGGATTCCATATGCACTGGTTGGTGAATTTGTTGCAACTAAAGACGAGAAAGCTATAACTGCTAATGCAGACGTAAGGCCAATAGATAACCACGATATCGAACAAGTGATTGCTGAATCATCATCTTCTGCATCAGAAAATACTCTGCTACCATCCTTGGACGAGGAAATAATAACAAAAGATGAGAATTCTAGAATGGAAATTGTTTTAGACAAAGGAGAAGAAGAAGAAGAAGAAGAAGAAGAAGAAGAATTTGATGCTGGAACCATTCTTGGAATACACAACATGTATATTGTTTTTCCTCAATTTGTTATTTCATTGATAAGTTCAGCTATTTTCTCCGTAGTTGAGGCTAGACAGAGGTTACATGATGGCGAAGGCGATGAAGGGGTGGCTGGTGATGTTGGTATTGTATTAAGATTCGGAGGATTAATGGCACTTGTAGCGGCTTTTCTATCAAGATATTTAGTTCATATACCAATTTCGGGGAGGTAGCACGATGGGTACGTTTACGCACATTGACAATAATACATAAGGATATTTCTCAGCTCACTCAGCTAGACTAGATGGCCAGAATAGAATTTTTATTTTACGGAGAATGGGCCATCACTACGAGCCAACTAATATAAATAAATAATAGTCATGTATGAAGAAACACTGCCGCCCCAATGTTTATTAAAAAGCTCGAGATGTTTAAAGGACCCCCGGGAGGGTTAAATTTTATTGTTAAGTCGATGAATAAACAAGTACTAAATAACCGTAAAAGTAATATGCTAAACGAAAGCTACTGGCAGAGAAAAATTTGTCTCGTGTCGGATTCGAACCGACGACCTACCGCGTGTTAGGCGGTTGTGATAACCGACTACACCAACGAGACCTTGTTATTCCTAATCGGCTTGTTATGTTCTAAGTATAAGTAAACCAACGAACCCTGCTATAGACGCCTTTGCAATAACGAGCGTACTATTTATGATATTTCTATTAAGACCAATATAAACGCCTATCTCGTTATTGCCTTGTTTTTTAATGAATAAAGGCGTCTAAGTTACAATGCTTGCTTTCGGATTTCGGGCATTCCAGACGTTTAATGCCGAATTTTTTATAGATAGTAATTTAGCAACAATGGTTTCTTGTCATACAATAAATCGATAATTCGTAATAGAATGCACTAACATTAATGAGTGATGTCAATATTTTTTTTACAATATTAACAATATATGCAATTGCGAACACTTGACCAGCCAATCAAATTTCGGACAATGAGAGAGGCTGAGCGAGTTAATTTTAATTCGATAGGATTTTTTTCCCTTCCCCAGTTGTGCCCGGATCGGGCACTGTTTTCTCGAATTGCGCACATGTCAACGACAAATACTGTAGTCCCAAGAGACGAAATCTTAGATCCGTTTCTGCTACCGCTCCCAGTGTGGATAAACGACGAGACGGTCAAAGCCTGCAAGCAGTGTAGTGCTACGTTCACTCCACTGCGAAGAAAGGTAAGCAAAACTTCCGTTTACGAAATGCACGAATTTGTCCAGGATAACCAACGAGAAGTTTTATAATACAAATTCTGCACTTCTTTTCTTGGATTCTCTGACCACTCAGCATCATTGCCGCCAATGGTAACGTAAATACGATTTTCGATCCTTCGCTCTCCATTATGGCTAAATTCGTGGGAATTGGCTTATTTATTTCACAATTATAGTGGTCATATCTTTTGTCAAAATTGCTCTTCTCAACGTCTTGCCCTACCTCAACTGGGAGAATTTACGCCTGTTCGTGTTTGTAACGAATGCTTTAGAGTTGCCTCCCTTGTCGGAGAGGTCATTTCTGACGGTCAAACTACACAGGTATTAATATTGAGGTGACGATCTTATCAGATTGACTGCCTTTCGATTAACCCTCAAATTGGCTAGATTCATGGTGCTCGGGGATTGGCCGCAATCGTAGATCAAGGAAAAGGTACTACCGCTACTGGAATAACTCGTGATTTCCGAAGTTGGTTTAAAATTGACGCCATAAGTAATATTCTATTAGAGCAAGAGATATCGATCTTGATAGATCAAGGAGGGCTGGACGCTTTGATTTATTTATGCAAGGAGCAACATCTACCAGAACTTCATTTTGAGGCGACAACTGCTTTGGCTAAGTTCGTGCTTATAGGTGAGCGATTGAATACACATGCTTTCACTGCCTTGTGTTTACACGGACAAACTTACCTTTAGTTCCCAATTGATAGAGGACCACAGATCTACTCTTTTCATGAAGGGTGCACTGCCTTACCTCTATGTACTCATATTTCTTTATGCACAAAGAGCGTCCGCAAAACAATCGGATATAAATTTTGTTTCATCTGCTAAACTGTTGAAAATGGTTTCAGAAATCCTACGTAATGTAGGAAGCATTCTTTTTTATATTGCTTCATCAGGTCAGTTTTATGATGCCCTTGCTTTGCTATTGTACAGAAACCATTTTGGGTTTAAAATGTCATTGTAACAATTGTCATTTCTGAAGGCAGAATCCCTATCGCAGAGAATGCTGATGGACAAAGCATTTGATGCAATCCTCACATTAGCAGGCTTTGAATTAGATGCTACGAAGATTGTCTCAGCAGAAAACTCGTATGATGAAATACGTCTTAAAGTTGAGGAAGCACAAGTATTGGCAGTCAAAACCATATCATCTCTCGCCTTTTACCGTAAAGTATTAAAAATTACTGTTAACACATGCGTTCTTAATGATAACACATCGTTTCATAGCTCGACTCTTTTTCCAGCTACAAATCAGCTTCAAATGATTGAAGGCTCAGATAATGGTCTTACAGGACTTATACAACTCTTGCATGCCAAACAGCCGGAAGTCAGAAGATATGTAGCGAAGTCTATTGCTTATCTGTCAACCAGAAACGGTAATTAACGACAACAGATACCGAATAACTTGGCTCGTTGCAGAATGATAAACTTTTTTTACAATTAGATAAATACAAGTCAATGCTTGTACAGGATGGCCGCGCTGAATTGTTGGCTTCTGTCATTCCGGTGGATAAGGAGTTAGCCGTAGCCCACCAGATGACTATAGCACATACAGCATGTGCACTGGTACGTAATGTCGTATTTCATAAATGTATTTTCGAGGTTTGAGAATATACGTTCATATCCTCGTATAATTTAGGCGAATCTTGCGACCAATGGTAATGCATGGGATTGTCATTTGAATTTATTATTATCTTTAAATATTAAATTAAGCCTATTCATATGTAGACGACTCTCAGAAACTTTTAATAGGACAACCAAATATACTTCCAAATCTTTGTAACATTGTTTTTGTCTTTCTTGACAACAAAGAAGTTCAGCGGTATGTATTTAATTTTACCACTAGTGTGCATTCGATGAGTTGTAAAACATATTTCGAATCGTATTCACTATTGAAAATGATATACACATCTTGCGTAGACATCTTGCACGACTTTTGGCTAATTTCGCATTATATGGTATTTATTGAAAGACATGCAAATCACGGGATTAATTGCGATTATTGCGTCTAAAATTATTGTCTTTTAACAGAGAAAAACAGAAGGAGGATGATTGAAGACGTCAGTGTCGTAACACCACTCATAGCAATCGGAGATTCTCCTGTGGCAGATAGCGAAATCCATAAACACATAGTTCGCGCATTTGACAATTTGTCGACTAAATGTGAAAAAGGTAGTTGTCTTGAACGTTGAGTTACGGTTTTTGAGAAAAAAGCTTTCGTTGATCCCTTTTGCAATTTACTATCTATAGAAGAGAATCAGGTGCCCATAAACATCCTTGCTAAACTTATTCCTAGCAGTCCGTTAATCAACCGTATCGCCGAGACAATTGCTGATGAAGAGGTTCGCAGAAGAGCTGCCCATGTTATCAACAAACTAGATCAACTGGAGAAACTTCTGCAGAAATCAGATGAAGAGCCAACCGAGTTAAGTCAATCTACGTCTTCATTGACGTCCTATGATTTCGAGGAAGCGACTTGAGTGTCTTCAGATCATAAAGTTTTCTTGCTTAAAATTGTTGCCAGACGCAGTATCAATCACGCGTCGTTAATTTACATTAATGTGAACGACAGAACTTTATTTACAAACGCATATTTACAAATAGACGCACTTCTTTCAGATAGCTGCGGGTGGCTGCAAATAATAAAGTTCATATATCGAATAAGACGTAGAAAAGAAATTTTATTTTCATAAATAAAGTACGATAGCTATTGATGACAAAATATTTGATAGGGCAACTGTTTTATATTCGGCTTTTCTGTAGATTCTACTGCTTTATAATGATAAGTGATCGAAATAACAATAGTAATTAACAGTTTACGGAAGACTACACATATCATGAGATCGGATCGATAGGTAATACTTTTCATTAATAATTAACAATCGGATGGATTGTAACACATCAATGGTAGGCATTACTAATTACTACTATTTCCTGCATGATCTCCGGAGAGAATCAAGGCTCCATCAAGCAATGCCCGGAGAAAGATTCCCCGAGCGCCATTTTGCAATTTTGGCATTTGTACATCTCGGACCCTCCTATTTTTTGAATGTTCCCACACCAGCTGCAAGTTTTCGAAGTGTAGGCCTCATTTTGGATAATAACGCGGACCCCTAGTTCTTCTGCCTTAGCCACAAGACGTTGGCGAAATTGATAGTGGCCCCAACAGAGCATTTTACGAACGGCTTTGGGTGATATCTTTCGTGTTTTTCGGTTTACCATATTTGATAACTCAAAAGGAGGAATGACGATGGCATCAAATTCGCGAGTGAAAAATGCGACACTCTTTTTGTGAACTTCGCTTTGTAGGCGTTTGATTCTTCGTCGCATTCGAAAGATTGCCGTATCGAGTCGCAAGGCCTGCTTCTTCTTACGCTTTGAACTGAGGCCGCCAGTTTGTCCTTGGTCGACTGTAGATTATCCATATGTTGGCACAGACGAATAATTCGTCCAATGTCGTATTGGCCAATTTTGCCTACACCTTTGGTTGGAAAGTACCGCGTGAACAGTGTACGAACGCCAGGGTCAATGGAAACTGCATCAACAGACCCATCCGCTTGGGTTTCGCGGAGTTCTCGTAAACCCAGGAAAGTTTCCATTCGTTCGTTTTGCGAATATAGGTGAAGTTGCAGTCGGATGTTACGCGGTGGGGAACAGGCCACTTATTGTTATGCCTTTTTTTTCGAAATGAAGAGGCCATAAATCGCGTTTGTCGTCTGGCGTGATAACAGGCTTATGGCGGGCTGCGGAAAGCATTGATGGAGTATGGAGATAATTGACATAAAAACGGTTCCACATGATTCTTGAATGGTGCTCCGTTAATTATCCCATCCCTAAAATTAATACACATTAATATATAGTTAAAAAATAAATAAAATAAATAAAGAAGGGAAAAAACCAACAAAGTATAACAATCATACCTAGCAGTTAATGCTTCATCAATCGCTGTACTGCATTCTTTTAATCCAATAGTTGTTTCGTATAAACCTGTCCAGTATCGCACGTATTCTAAAGTAGAAACTAACATAATATTCCCGAGTAGATGGCTCCCGAGTGATTCCAATTATCCAGATATTATCGGGTGTTAATATCGTCGGGTATTCATTAGTTAACTGCCTCATCGATAACGCTTACAGGCGCTTTTCCATGTGTACCTTGAAGCAGCAATCCAACACGCACAACAGTTCGCATAAATTTGCGTTCACCACATACGCACGATCTCTGAAGTCTCTTGTCCTCACATCTTTTCCGACACGAACATCTGTGTAAAGTCTAAGCTTATCTTCAATTGGTTGAGATTTTATCCAAACCCGTCGTGATGGACCAACACCTGAATCCTTGGTATAGACGCGACGGTGTCGACTCCAGCGGACAACTGCATTATATGCATATCTCGACAAGCCCATCCACCGTTTCAGTAGATGCTTTGAAGATGATTTGGATAGACTTTGATTGGCAGCGTACGATTGAGAGTTTCCAAACGTTGTCGTTTGTTGCGTGCTGCCGTTGTCCTGATCTTGCGTTTTTTCCCTAGAGTGGGGTTTTCGTCGGGAGACTCTTCTTCCTTGCTTGACTGCAGGGATATTTTGGGACAGTTCGTGCTCATCGGAGGTCGCTTTGTTGACGAGAACCATGAGTTTTGTAGTATGTGGGAAGTGGATGAAGTCACGGCAGAGTTAGACACAATAGGTAACCACAATTTCTGAGACCATGCCGCGACTTTTTCGTTCCAATAAGGTCTTACGTTTGTAGGATGGGGAACCGAAGAGTTCTTTGGGAGAGCTAAAGGCCTCTTTTCGCTTGCATCTTTGGTTTTGGTGGTGGTTTTGGCGGTGGTGTTAGCATAGTAACGAGTTTATGAGTTTACGATTTTGAATGATAAATGAGCTGGGGAATATGTCTTTAAATATGTTATGGTGTCAGTATTCGAATGGCGGAACCGAAAACACATACAATAGCGAAACGCGTACAATCTCATATTGAAAGGCGGAAACGCATACAATAGCGAAACGCGTACAATCTCAGATTGAAAGACGGAAATGCATACAATGGCAAAACATACAATCTCATATTGAAAGACGGAAACGCATACAATGGCGAAACACGTACAATCTCATATTGAAAGGCGGAAACGCATACAATGGCGAATCTTATATGGTGCCAGGTTACTGGCTTAAACAGGAACCATTTTATTAATTTTGGTAAGTCTACTGAAATACTACACTACACACCTAATAAGGGTATGAGGGATTGTAATATCACGTGCACCCAATAAAATGCTGGCCTCCGTAAGTCTAAACGCACGCTTGAGGGTTAACTCGTAGCTTATGTTAAACAAAATGATCATTCCTTCGATTACAGATAGTGATATAATACAAAAACTACAAATTCGATAGAAGTCTGTTAAAGATCTGTTATCGCAGAAACATATGGCAACAACGGTTTCGTATAATAGACTCATGGCAGCATATGTTCGCTCAGGGAAATTAGTATATGCTAGAGAACTTTTCGCAATCATGAAAGCCAAAAACATGGTAGACGTAGCTTCGTATACGACGTTGATAGCTGCTTATGCACGTCTCAATGACATTTTTTCCGCGCGCAAGCTATTACACGAGATGCATCAAGTAGGGATAAAAATGGACATTATTCTGTACAATACTATGATCAATGCATCTTTTAAAAACAATGACATCAGGAATGCTCAGAAGTATCTAGACGAGATGACAGCTGCCGGACATAAACCAGACATTATTACATTCAATACTCTGATGACAGGGTACAGTAAGCTAAATAATACCATTAAAGTGGAAGAAATATTTAAAAGCTTGACCGAAGCAAATATAGAGCCAAGGATAGATACTTACAACATATTATTGTCATTATACGCCCGCAATAGAAGCAAAAAGGCAGCGCAAGTGTATGAAACAATGAGATCACAAGGAGTTAAGCCTTCGATGAGAACTTTTAATTCTCTTATATTTATGTATCTTTCGAACAACGATCATCAGAAAGCGCGGGAAGTATTTCGCATGATATCTGAATACGGATTGAAACCAGATTTGGTTACGTACAGTACGTTCGTTGCTGCATTTGTAAATATAGATGACTTGCAGGGAGCGGAGGAGACGTTGAAGGAAATGAAGAAACAAGGAGTCATGCCAAACATATTTATTTTTAACAAATTGTTGGCAGGATATCTACGGTCATATGGTTTATCTTCGTTCGAGCAGATATTAATCGAGATGCGTAATCACGGAATATCTCCTGACCATGTGACATATAATACGTTGATGCAATATATTAAAAAGCAACAAAATGACGACAGTTTCGAGAAAACTCTTGAGCAATATGCAAACATGTTAAAGAATGTTATTCGCCCTTCTGATAGGACGTTGAATATTTTACTTGATGCGGCTGCTATGAAAGATATTAGACAATCGGAATATGTATCGAGGCATATGACAGCGACAGATCAACAACCAAACAACGGGAAAGAATTCATCAGAACAGTGTTGCGTGAAATGAAGGCGAAGGGCATAGAACTGAATATAGTAACATATTCCATCCTAATGAAGAGTTTTGTATATCATGGAGACATGGTAAGCGCGGAAGAAGCATTATGTGCTATGAGATCGAGTAAAATACCGGCCAATAAGTATATATATACTCAATTAATAAATGGGTACGGTAAGACAGGTAATGTAACAATGGTGGAAAGATTGGTTGAAGAGATGACAACTATGAACATATCCAAAGACTTGAAAGTATATACATCTCTTCTCAATGCGTATGCGTACAATGGGAGAATAGACGACGCGATGCGAACGTTCGGGGAAATGTGGTCAGTCAAACTTATTCAAGATAATGTCACTTATACCTCTTTGATGAACATGTTTGCCAAGAAAGGAGACATATACAATACGCAACAAGTTTTTGACCATATGCGTAAGATCGGACTTCCTTCAGATGTAATATCGTACACAGTACTATTGACAGCATACGTAATGAACAGAGATCCGCACGGAGCAAGTAATGTGTATAAAGAGATGGTTAACATGGGAATGGTTCCCGATTCGGTTGTTATGGTCACTATTTTTTCGCGTCCCATTGAGTTTGCAAAGGCATTTTTATTGCATACTGTTGGAAACGACACTGAGGCGCTGAATGAAATACTTATAAACATAATCATGGAGCCTGTTTTGGCCCAGTTGGCATATGAGCTGTTTATATGGATGGCAGAAGGCGCTCAAAAGGTATCAGACGGAATAAAGTTACCATCGGAGCAAAACAAAATAAGACATACGCATTACAATAGTAATGCGAACAACAATACAACTAGCAATAACGATATCGTTACGGTTATACCATCATCACACCGCTCAATGTTGGTTCCAAACGAACAGACATTTCGAATCATATTCCAAAAATTCGAAGAAACTCATCAAACAGAGTATATCCTTAAACTTTGGTCTCACTTGTATCAAATCGGTTATTTTCCGTTGCCATCGATTGTATATAAAACTGTATTAAAAACATTATTAGGGAGTGGATCGATTGACAAGGCAATGGAAGTATGGAAGATTTTTATGGCAACTGAGCCATCGCATTTCTCCCGGTCACAACTCAAAAGAGTGTTTGTACAATATCACGTAAACGTTGATTGACTATCAATGGAGAAAATTGTAGGAGGTAGCATTATATTGTATTGTAATAAACACTCCGTTATAAGTTTTACAATTTGAGAGTTTTAGGTTTCTCCCATGGAAACTAGCGAAGAGAAATGAGAATGCATTAATAATCTTCAAACGATAGTAAAAGTACTCTGTCGTCTCCGCAATAAACCTACCTCGTCTCTTCCGAAATGACCATACGCAGCAGTCTGCTCGTAGGACCATCCGTCTGGTTTATGAAGTCCAAGTTCTTGTACAATAACTCCTGGGCGCAGATCCCAATTTTTCTTTATAATGTCTAACAGCTCAGCATTGGACTTGCTCGAGGTGCCGTACGTATCAACAAAGACTGAGAGAGGTTCGGCTACCCCGATGGCATAGGACAGTTGTACAAGAACGCGGCGCGCTAGGCCGGCGGCTACTAGTGACTTGGCGATCCAGCGGCCTAAAGTCGATTGATAGACGTGAATTTTCTAGTATTTATGCGCGTTGTGATACCGACGCGTGGATTTCATGTGCAATAAAGATTTACCTGTATAAGCTGCAGACCGATCGACTTTGGACCAATCTTTGCCTGAGAATGCACCGCCACCATGTGCACCATGACCGCCGTACTGTAAGAGTAGAAAGTTGATACTTTAGTAAATCACGTGATACATGACACATTCCCACGTTGTACCTGAACATTACTTACGGTATCGACGATAATCTTCCTCCCTGTTAGCCCTGCGTCACCCTGCGGTCCACCGATGATGAACTTTCCCGATGGTTGTATATGATAGATGGTCCTGTCTGTAAGATATTTGGCGGGTATAACGGGCAGGATTACATGTTCTAAAATAGCCTTTTGCAGATCCGCAAGCTCAATGTCTGGGCTATGCTGTGTGGATACTACAACTGTGTCGACTTCCAGTGGGATTAAAGCACCATGTTCATTTCTATATTTCACAGTAACTTGCGTCTTCGTATCTGGGCGCAACCTGACAATGAAAACGAAGAAGAGTACAGCTGAGTACGTAATCGAAACGCGTCCATATTAATTGTTCACTTTTATTTGTTACTGTGCTCACTTACCATTTGAGGGTCTCGTTACGACGTAATTCAGCCAACTTCTGGTTGAGTTTATGAGCCAGCATTATTGTCAACGGCATTAATTCAGGAGTCTCATCGGTGGCATAACCAAACATGATACCTACAATGCAATAAACTGTTAATGACATTCTAAAATTATCCTTAACCGCGTAACAAAAGAAATATAGTTAACCTTGGTCGCCAGCGCCAATGTCTTCAAGGCTCTCGCTATTCTTCACAAGACCTTGAGCAATATCGGGAGACTGTTCTTCGATTGCAACGAGTATATTGCACGTATGAAAATCAAAGCCCTTTGTCGAATCATCATAGCCAATACGCTTTATGACGTTTCGGATGAGTTTCTGGTAATCTAGTACGGCGTTTGTGGATATTTCACCAAAAACAAACACCAAACCAGTCTTTGTTGCCGTCTCGCAAGCAACTTTTGAGAACGGGTCAGCTTTGAGACACGCGTCTAAAATGGCATCCGACACTTGGTCGGCCATTTTGTCTAATATGAAAAAGTGAAAGTTTACAGTCGTTAATATGATATGTGTAAGCTGATATTGACATCGGACGGATCGATTACATCCATATCATAACCCTTATACATTGCATGGCTCGTTTCCTCCATTGACCGTCACAATTTCGTCATTACTCTTTTTCTACTCACCAGGGTGTCCTTCTCCCACTGACTCTGAAGTGAATAGAAACGTTTCGCCGTGAGCTGACATTGTGCGCTGGTATTAGTGCTTTAGAAGATGAAGTTGTCTTGGTTGTCTTGAGGCTAACAGTTTATGTACATCTGGTCGAAAATTCCCCTTTTTTTTTTTTTCAACCAAAATCAGTGATGAGTTTGATTATCATATGGGACGTGTGGACATTGTGCCACAAGTCGAAACCGTGTACCTCTAAAAGTGTTTGAATACGGAAGAAACTACGTAAATATGGATGAAACTAATTAATATTAATATTAAATACGGAGAAACGAAAAAGCGGCTTGCGTAACACTGGAAAAACCGATGATTGTCAGCATGAGAGAAAAAACCGTGATTTAACATAATAATAATCGTAGCATGTCAGGTCTGAGGCCTATATGACATAAATTTTAGGTGGCGCATTTCATCCAAGCCACAAACCATATAAGAAAATGGTTTGGTTTGTTTTTTTTGCCAGAAATTTAATGGGCCGTAGAGTTTGATTTCAATGTTGGATGTAGAGCGAGGCCAAACACTGTTCAATAACTGGAATTTGAAGCTTACGGATATTAGGTCATTGTAAGGAGTGAGAAGAGTTGAAAGTCCCTTAAAGAGCTCTCAGTTTATATTCTTGGGAGGTACGAAATAGGAAATTACATGGTTTGAATACACTCTCAACATCCATAATAATAACGTTATTATGATTTGATGCTTGATTTCCAAGTCTGATGATGTCGCGAAAATGTGCTGCAAATCAGCGTCATTTATTCAGAAAAATGCAGTACGTCATTGATGAACATGACAGACAACGCTTACATCAGAAAGCAACAGCGTGCCTCATAATCTCGTGATAGAAATGTCATTATAATTAAAATGATATAAGTAAAAGTGAAACAAGGCGGTTTTTTGTAAACTTGATGACGACAAAAATGTCAAAATGTCGTCATGAATGGCGCGATCTTCTGTACCACGATGAAACCATTTTTTTCGGCGTCCCCCCCCCCCCCAAATCCCCATTTTCGTTCCCGAACTATCGCATCAGCTCCACAAACATTTCTGTCGTAATAGTATATTATTAATAACACTATAACATCGTCATATGGGGGGCAAACCAGACAAAGTGAACATTTTATAAATGAGGGGCTGATTAGGTGGCTGTAAAATTGACCCAGTATGACTGATGACGTTCTGAAAAGTAATAATGGTGCTCATTCATAACATATGGATTGTCTTAATTTTAATGCTCACTTTATCATACCGGAAGGTGATGAATATAAACCATAATGTGATTAATATAGGATACACTACCTGGACAAAAGTCTAGCACATCAAATTTTTATTAATTGCACAAAATGGTACATAATAATTACGTTTCAAAATTTAACATATCATAGTTTAACCAATAAAGTAACTATATATAAATCAATATTTGGTTGGCCATCCGTTGTTTGCAATAACTGCTTCTATTCTCCGCGGCATACTTTCTA